GGAGCCGGCTGGCTGGAGAGTAGGCGGCCTGGAGGGCTGTGTCGGCAGGAGCCCTGCGCCGAAGGGTGGGACTGGCAGAGCTGCGCCCTGCGGTCCCAACCCGGCCTCTCCCCGGGGGTGTGGTCGCGCTCTGTTCGGTCACAGCCAGGCTGCGGCCTAAGGTGTGCCTGGGATTGTTGCATTTTTAGGGGGTTGGAGTGGGTAGGGGCCCTCTGCCCCCTCATGACCGCAAGGCTGAGGTGAAGCTCTCGCCTTCCAGTTGAGGTACAGGGGTCCTTTGCTGGCCCCAGATGTGGACAGTATCCTGTCGACTGCCCACCACTGGGAACCCTTAAGTCCCCCAGGGGTGAGCAGTGACGTCCCCCAGGGGTGAACAGTGACGTCCCCCTTATGTGGGCAGTGACGCCCCCCAAGTCTACCAAGCGCGGACAGTGCCCTCTTTTCTCCCAGAGGTGGGAAACCGCCCTCTCCCCTCTGCACATTATCAGTGAGCAAACGTCAGGGCCGGAACAGGCTGGTGGGCCCAGGGTTATGCACAGGGGGTCCCATGGCCTGGACCCTGACAAGGCTAGGTGGCCAGGGACGCTTGGCTGGAAGGGTACAGGAATAGGTCCCGACTTCCCTAGGCTGCCCCCAGCTCCCCACGGGTGCTCAGAGAGTCCAGATCACAAACCGTTGCAGAAAAGTGGGCGTGGAAAGCAGGCTGCAGCGCTATCACAGAATTGCAGGCCCCTGTCCCCTAGCCCTCCCTTGGCTTCTGCCAGGGGAACACTTTGTCAGGAAGGGGGTCACTGCTCACCTCCCTGGGATCCCCTGGCCTTGTTTTGGGTACTATGGCTGAAGCAGGCACTACCTCTCCTCCGTGTGTTCAATGGGGGCGAGAAATGACTTTACAAGAGAAATTAAGCTGCTCTTCTTGGAGATGTTGCCTTTTTTTCTTCTTAATTATGCCTTGTAGAGCAGAACCTTTAGGCAGAGAACTCAGAGCTAGAGGTCAGAAATGTTGCTTTCTGTCCAGATATTACTCTCTGAGCCTTAGCCTCTCAACAGTTTTCTTCATCAGCAGGACATGGGCATTGCCACTTGCCTGCCTTTCTCAGAGGGCTCTTGTAAGGATCATATGGGGTGATAACTGTGAAGGCTTCTAGCACAGTGGGTCTCAAACCTGGCTCCTGACAGAAATCACCTGGAATCTTCTAAAAATCCCTGTGGGTTGCACTCCACACCTGTTACTTTAGAGCTTCTAGGGGTGAGGTCCAGGCATCAGTATTTTTGAAGCTCCCCAGGTGGTGCAGCCAGAGCCAAGATCCACAGGGCCACATACTTGTCTAGACTCAATACTCGGGACCAGTGGTATTCATAAAATGGGCATGTGCAAGAGAGGGATGGCTTATAGAGCCTAGAAACAGAATGGAGCTATGCACTTTGGACGACAGTGAATTCTGGAACCAGTGAGACCTAGACCTAGGTTCAAATCCCAGCACTGCTACTTCTGGCTGTGGAACCTTGGGCAGGCAACCTTTCTGAGCCTCAGTTTTCTCAACCTTTTAATGAGGATATTAATTATGACTACTTCATAACTTTATGAAACACCTAGTACGTAGTCACAATATTGATGCTTTTATTGGGAGAGGCGGGGGCTAAGGTAAAGAAGCCGATAGTGATTCTTTTCTTGATGGAACCTAGCCAAGCTCCTCTGAGTCCTCTTCTCAACTAGGCTTCAATCTTGGCCTATAAAGACTGAACAGAACACAGTTTCTAATAACAGCGTCACATCCTTAAGATCACCAGTTCCCAGGCTTTTAGGCACCAGAGACAAGTTTCATGGAAAACAATGTTGTCACAGACAGGGTGGTGGGGATGGGCAATAATTCTATGATGAAGGCCTGGCGTGGTGGCTCACACCTGTAATCCCAGCACTTTGGGAGGCCGAGGTGGGCAGATCACTTGAGGCCAGGAGTTCAAGACCAGCCTGGCCATCTTGGTGAAACTCCATCTCTACTAAAAATACAAAAATTAGCCGGGCATGGTGGTGCTAGCCTCTAATCTCAGCTACTCAGGAGGCTGAGGCACAAGAATTGCTCAAACCTGGGAGGTGGAGGCTGTAGTGAGCTGAGATCACACCATTGCACTCCAGCTTGGGTGACAGAGCAAGACTCTGTCTCAAAAAATAAATAAATAACAATAGGATTGCCTAGTAAAATCAGCCATTTTTGGCCAGGTGCAGTGGCTCAGGCGTGTAATCCCAGCACTTTGGGAGGTCGAGGTGGGCAGATCACTTGAGCTCAGGAGTTTGAGACCGGCCTGGTCAACATGGTGAAACCCTGTCTCTACTAAAGATATAAAAATTGGCCAGGTGTGGTGGCACGGGCCTGTAATCCCAGCTACTCAGGAGGCTGAAATAGGAGAATCGCTTAAACCCAGGAGGCAGAGGTTGCAGTGAGCTGAGACTGTGCCACTGCATGCCAGCCTGGGCAACAGAGAAACTCCATCTCAAAAAAAAAAAAAAAAAAAGGGGGATGAAACTGTTTCACCTTAGATCATCAGGCATTAGATTCTTAAAAGAAGCATGCAACCTAGATCCCCCGCATGTACAGTTCACAGCAGGTTTTGAGCTCCTATGAGACTCTAATGCCACTGCTTGGTTCCTAACAGGCCACAGACCAGTACTGGTCCACAGCCCAGGGGTTGGTGGCCCCTACCTAAGGTGACACTGGCCCCACCACCCCCTCTTAAAGTGCCTACCTGAGAAAACTCAAGGCTGCCAAAATATTTACTGTTTTGTTTCATCCAACACCTGAGGATAGAGTTTCTGTCTCCCAGTCTCTTTGGGAGGATGGCATCCTAACTTTGGTAATTGGTAGCTAGCAGACACAGCTGGCCTAATGTCACTTACACTGACCAACCCTTTGTCATTTTTCA